CAATCACTAGAAAATTTCTACTTTCACACCTATAGTAATTTATATATAGAACCGCGTCATGTTTCACTATGATCATTTTTCAGTTGACTGGAGAATCGTCAATTAAAGTAATAATTATAAGTCGTAAAGCTTGCTATGACAATCATATAAAATATCTTTATTTTACCACTATGAAGAAATAACCCAGTAGATTTTTGACCTACCAGGACCTAACAGACTCCCAAATAATTAGGAATTTATCTCTTATTTTTGCCATTGCAAGAAATTTTTATTAACTTTTTTTTTTTTTTTTTTAGCCTTGAATCTGATATCATTTTGGCCACTACATATCTTAAAGGAAAAAAAAAAGATTTAGAATAATTAACTTTAGCACTTTGTGCCAATGCTGATAGTACAGACAAAATGAAAATGTTTGTAATTGGTAAATCACCTAACTCACACTGCTTCAAAGATATCAATTGCAACATACTTGGTGTTATGTATAATGCAAGTAAAAAAGTTTGGATGAATACAATTTTGTTTCAAAAGTGGCTTAAAGAGTTCGACTTGAAAATAGCTGATCACAAGACACTCCTTTTGGTGATGGTGCAAAATGTTATTTCTATAGTAACTTAACACTTCATAATACAACTGTTCACACTTTTCCTCTAAACACAACATCACACATTCAGCCTATGGATGCTAATATTATTATATGTTTTAAGTATCTTACTGAAGTTATTTTATTAAATGGTTGCTTGATCAATATAAAGCTGAAAAAGATGAAAAAATAAATGTTCTTACTGCCATAAGGTTCATTGTTTAGGTGTAAAGGAAAGTATCATCAGAAACAATATATAACTGTTTTCAACATACAGGAATTCTTCTAGGTAAAGATGAGTAATTTTTATTAATACTATTACTTATTATTACTTTACATCTAATTTTTTATAAAGTAATAATAAGTAAAAAAAAAAAAAAAAAAAAACTGTATTCTTAAAAGCAACCTTGATTAAATTTCAAAATTATACCATATTTGTAAATCACAAGAAATTTCAGATTTGATAAGCAATAATTACAGTATTACAAAATAATGCTTTGAGGTGTTATTTCATGACAAAAAATTTTAAACTGAACTAAGAATTGATTTGGTTGAAGATTTTTTTAACTTTACTATTAAATAAAAAAAAATTTTTTAGCCAAATTAATTATTAGTTCATTTTGAAATTTTGTCACAAAATAACACCCTGAGGCGTATTTCGTGATGATACAGTAATGAAAGTGAGTGTCACTAAAAGAGAAGGTGCAATTCTAAATATAGATTATTATAAAATTCATTAGTCTATTTTTTAGAACTGTACTTTTTCTTTTGGCAATGCTAATATAAGAATGAGTAATAGTTAAAAATTTATATTCTTATATAAATTATTATATTGATTATCCCTATTACCAAATACTCAGAATGATGATGAACTCCCTGTTGATGATGACAATGATAGATTAATAGATGAACTTCAAGCAGATATTGAAGCACTTAATTTTCCAAATATAATGTATCTTGAAGAATATATCAATTATTTGGGTAAAAAAGATATACATGAAGTATTGAGTAATCAGGAAATTTTGAAACTGATTATTAATTCTGAACCTGTAGAGAATAAAAGCGTTGAAGAGGAAGATGATAGCATGGAAATAAGCCAAATTAGTTATTAAAAAGCATTAAACACAATAGAAATACTTGAACAATACATTGTGCAGAAAGATTTCAGCGAAACAGCCCAATCTGAATATGATGATACTTTATTAAAATTACAAAATGAAATAAGAAAAATTCGCATTGCCACTTTCAAGCAAACAAACATTGAAAGTTATTTTGAATCAATATAATTAGTTCTGCCTTTTTACAAAAACATCGCACTTATCTTTTTGAATATTGAAAATAATTAACTTAGCATTAAAGAAAGAAAGCATTGACAAAGATCTTTATAATAACACTAACCTTAAGTCTTAGTTCTTTATAGAACAATCTTATACTTACCAACTAACAGTTTGATAAGAAAAAACATTTATTATTAAGTTATAACTAGTATAATATAAGAATCAAGTGAAATTTTAGAAACTATTCTTATATTCTAATAGAAAAAAATATATATTATAAATTTATAAATAGCATTACTTAAAACACAGTAAAATTTTAGAGACAAATATTTGATTTCGAAGTTGTTAGCAGTCTCTATAAACTTTAAACAAATCATGAAACCCTGTAACTTATCTGTTTTGTAAATCATTATGTTACATTAGACCAAATTTGATATCTTCGCATGTTCATATATAAAATAAAGGATTTTATTATTATGCAATATATAATTTATGACTAAAAAAACATTTAGTATATATAAGCAATAGCAAAAAAAAATCTTTTATCATTTGTAATTTGTAATATTATGCATTATTATTGGCTAAAAATAGTTCACGTGATTTAAATAATACCACAATATGATTGGCTACTTTTTAATTGCAACCCTCTCTAAATGCACGCCTCAGAGCCCGTCCCAATGGCATGCACTTGAGAGGTTTGATTGTATAACCAAAAAAAAAAATATTAAGATTCCGAATCAGTCCGAACATAAAATAGTCGTTGATATACCGTAATATAGCATTAATATGAGTAATATGATCAATAGTAACTACCGAACTAACAACCGGATTAGGTTATAGATATCTAGTAGCTCACCTACAAAATTTTCTAGCATGTGATTTTTAGCCAATTAGATCGAAAGATCAGGTGTAATGTAAAATCAAAACAATCAAATACACGAAAACAAAACAA